GTGTTCACAGGTTAGAGGGTTGAATATTCATCATTCTGCTATCACCATGAGGATTTGTGTATCACTGTAATATGATGCCTTTAACTCTTTTGACCACAGTGCTAAGTGAAATAAATCAGACACAGACGGTTAAATATTTATGACTTCTGTTACATGAGAAACTCAAAGCATAAATAATTTAAAGATCAAAATAACAGAAGACAGAGGGAGGTAAACCTCCTGCAGATGGAAAGGGTTCAAGAGATGCAGGGAGAGAGGAGAGAGAGAAGGGGAAGAAGTAAAAAGAAAAATTAAGATGCAATATATACATGTACCAACTTCCCATGATGGAAATACTCATTTTATATCTCAAACATGTAGTAACAGAAAAGCAGTAAATAAGACAAAGTAAAAAAGAAGGCTGAATAAAAGAGATGGGAATATTCCCCAAACTGAGCTACAGTTTCTGTGCAGTCGCTATCAAAATCCTAACTGCCTTCTATGCTGACGTGGGAATGCTGATTCTAAAATTTGTATGAAAATGCAAGGATCCACAAGAGCCAGGATCATACTGAAAAGGAAGAATTAAGTTGGAACACTCACACAAGAGAGTTCTAAAACTTTCTGTAAAGCTATAATAATCAAGACAGTGTAGTACTGGTAGAAAGATAGACAGAGACCAATGGCATGAAACTAAGATCCCAGAAATAAACCCTCACATTGACAGTCAGTGGTTTTTTGACAAGAGTGACAAGATACTTCAATAGGGAAAGGACAGCCTTTTCAACAAATGGCCTGGGACAATGAGATAGCCACATGAAAAAGAAATTGTTTGGGCCTTTCTCTTATACCACATAGAAAAAGAAGTCAAAATGGATCAAAGACCTAAATACAAGAGCTAAAATGATAAAAGTCTTAGAAAACATAGGGAGGGGCAAACGTGCATGACCTTGGATTTGGCAGTGGTTTCTTAGATATGACATCAAAAGTACAAGTGACTAAAGCAAAAATAGATAAATTGGACTTCATCAAAATTAAAAACTTTTTTGCTTCAAAGACACTGTCCAAAAAGAAAAGCAACCCACCCAATGAAAGAAAATATTTGCACAGTTTGTCCCTGCAAAAGGTCTACTATCCAGAATATATAAAGAATTTCTTACAACCCAGCCAAAAAAAAAAAGACAGCACATTTTATTTAAATGGGCAAAAAGATCAGGGCCAGGGATTTAGCTCAGTGGTTTCACCACCTGCCTCTCAAGTGCAAGGGCCCAAGTTTGATCCCTGGTAACAAAAACTAAAAAATAAAAATAGAAAAATCACCAGATGTAATGGTGCACACTTACAGTTCCAGCAGCTAGAGGAGTCGAGGCAGGATGATCTCAAGTTCAAAGCCAGCCTGATCAACTTTGTGAGGTTTGATGTCAAAAATAAAGAAATAAAATGAGCAAAAGGTCTAATGTACATTTCCCCAAAGAAGATATGGCCAAAAAGCACATGAAATGATGCTTAATGTTTTTAATCATTAGAAAAATGCAAATCAAGAGCATATCGGGCCAGGTGTGGTGGTGCACGCCTGTATTTCCAGCACTCGGGAGGCTGAGGCAGGAGGATCGCTGTGAGTCCAGAGCCAGCCTGGGCTACATGGTGAGTTCCAGGTTAATCTCAACTACACAGTGAGACCCTGTCTCAAAAAAATAAAACAACAAAAAAAAGCATGTTTTCCACTTAATAGATAGCTAAAAGAATTTTGATAAGCAGACAATGACAAGATTTGGCCACGGTGTGCAGAAATTGGTGCTGCCTTTCATTGATGGTGGGAGTATAAAGTGGTGCGGCTACTTTGAAAATTAATTGGACAGCTCTTCAAAGAGTTAAAGATAGAGTTACTGTAGGATGCAGCAACAAAGAGAATGGGAAACATACATCCACACACAGGAAAAACAAAAAGTGCACAGGAACAAAAAGCTGTGCGTGAATGAATGTGCATAATAGTGTGGTTCAAAATAGCAAAGTAGAAGGGACTCAAATGCCTATCAACCGGTAAGTGAGTGACTAAGATGATCAAGACAGAAAACAGATCCAGCCATGCCATGAAGAGGCACTAGAGCAGGTGGAGCCATGTAGCTCCCAGGTGAGACGAGATGACTGGGGGCCAAAAGAATTAGTGGAAACACCACGGAGGGAGAGAATCCCACTGGAGAAGCCTCGGACAGGCGAAGCCAGAGCACCCAAACGAAGGCCGGTCAGTAGCATCTCCCAGCAGGGGAAGAGCTGGAGTAAGTCTCTGAGGCAGGAAAGCTTCCCGAGGTCAGGTGGCAGATGTGCTTGAGAAGGGAGAAGAGGGGATGAGCAGCCGTGGTAGGCAGATGGCACTATGGAAGCACCCAGTCGAGGTTGGGGCAAAAATAGGGACGTTTGGTTGACAGCAGGTCAACCTTCTCAATTTGGAGCAAAAGCAAATGTGAGATCTGTTGTTGGCACAACTCTAGCCCATCATCCTCCAACCACAGTGACGTCTTCCTGACTTCCTCAATGAAGAACCCAGGTGCCGGACCCTTAGCCACCCTCGCAGAGGCCGTGCAAATTGACCCAGCATGTTTGGTGACTTCCCCCAAAAGGAAATCCCACCCTGCCCCCACCCGCTCTTAACACCTGCACGGCTCAGGGCTGCCCTTTGCCCTCTGCAGGTCCCAGCCGTGTGAACTCATTGTTTTCGTGTCCCAGAAAACCTCCAAGAGAAGAACCTCTAGCTCCCGGTGGCATTTAGCTTCACTCTTTAAACATCTGGGTCAGAGATATGCTCAGTTAATTAATGTTCTCAGCACTGCTCATTTGCCTGCTGGATAATAGATTGATTCATAATTTCAATAAGCAGCTGTGTATATCTTTCCCCTGAACATAAAGGCAGCTTGCTGTCATTCATCACTTTGCATTTGGTGAATTTAAATATATTCAGGGAAACATTGTTTAGGGAGGAGGAGGGAGGGCTTCTGAGTTTCTTACCATTTTGCCTCTAACAATTACTCTGATTTGGAACTAATTTGGGTGTAGAGCGCATGTTAATGGCGTCGCTTTCAAGGGCACTTAATAAATTCCCTGTCACTTGCCTTAAGGGGAACAGGCAGGGTCTTCTGTTGGGACCAGAGCCAAGGGTTTTTAAGTAGCTTTCACTGAGAGATGAGAACCCCTGCAGAGAGTCAGAGCCACCGGAGAAGAGTCACTTACGTTCCTGAGCGGAGAGCTTCCTGCTTCATCCCTGAGCACAAGGACCCAGCTCTGGAGGAAAAGGCAGGGATCCCCCAGAAATCTACAGGAAGCCCTTGTGCTGCTCAGCTGCTGGGCCAGGGCAGCCTGCCGTTAAGTTTCTAGGGACCCCCAGAGAGAGACCCAGACGCAATCAGGTATCCAGATGTCTTCATGCCTCAGTTTCCTCAATTATAAAATGGGGACAATGATAGAATCTACCTTACAGTGCTGTCATGAAAATTACATCACTTATTCCTATATTAGAATTGATGCAAAGCATGTCTTTGCGTGTCTCCTGTGTACTAGTGATGGACAAGCACCTTGCTCGTAGGATTATGTGAACAAATATGAAGACTTGTGCTCGCCTTTCACATTGTCCTCAGCAGCTGCACTAGGCTCTTTCTGTAGGAACACAGCCCCATCCTACTTCCAGAAGCCTGTCCTCAGGTTGATCTTGCAGAGAACTCCTCAGAATACGTTTGCAGAGTTTAACTGAATAGATCTGGCTTCTGTTTTTAAATGATGGTACGCACATTTGTAACATGGTCCTCTACACACATTTTTAATTACTTGGTGGTCTGTAGTGTGAAAGATGGGTGAATGTTTCTTTTGTTTTTAGATAGAATGGTGATTTTCAATTTCCCAGAGAGGGAACGCAAGGGAGGAGGCTACTAGCCCAGTGTGAGCTCTGTCATGGGAAAGATCACCAGGAAACATCACATCTGTATCAGTCAGCTAATGCTGCATAACAAATATATGGTTTACTGTTGCTCATGAGTCTACAGGGTAGCTAGATGGTTTTGTGAGCTAGACCAGGCTGGGTTGATTTTGCCTGTAGGTATTGCTGCATCTCCTAGGGGCAGATATCAGGTTGGCTTAGGGCTGTGTGATCTAGGTTGGTTTCATCTAGTTGACCAGATTTTGGTTGGTTCACATGTCTCTCCAGAGGCCTGCCTGAATTACTGTCCTGGCAGCAACAGGGTTCCAAGAGTGAATGGAAGCCTGGGAGGTCCAAGTGCTAGTCTAGAACCAAGCACATCTTTGCATCTGCCACATTCTACTGGCCAAAGCAAGGCATGAGACCAACTAATATTCAAAGAATAGAAAAATAGATTGCACTGCATGGTGGAAATTGCTTCAAAGCCATTGTCAAGAATGACTAGAAGAAAGCAGGACAATGTGGGTATTTTTGCAACCTACGAAACTCTGCCTGCATTTAGTGCAATAGGGGTACACAGAGCTCATACCAGGACTGTTTTGCACCTATTATTTCTGCTTTTTTCACCATTATAAGTAATGTTGCAATGAATACCTCATGCATAAACTTTGTTCACAATTCTGATTATTCCTTTTAGATAGATTTCTGAAAAGGGTTTATTGAGTCAAAAGAGATGAACATTTAAAAAACAGCATATGTATATAGAAGCCCCATCTTTGAAAGGTTGGAATAATTTACCCTTCCACTCACCTTACTGTGTGAGGGACCCCATCTTAGGCTGACACCTTGCCAAAAATGAAAGTAATCTCTTTTCTAGAATGTGGCATCTCCCAGTTGTTTTCATTTTTATTTCTTTTAACACTTCTGAAGTTGAATGCTGCTTCGGGGAATTTCGTCTTTGGGCAATGTGAATTGTGTGTGTTTAGGACAGAAATGGGACAGGACAGCAGAACTAACAGAAGGCAGAGACTAGGCAGCAGATCTTAGCCACCGTCCCCCTCCTAGCCTCACCTCTCCCTCTGCCTCCCTCTTCCCTACCAACCTGCTATCTCTATAGCTTGCCCGCTATACCAAGGAAGGCTTCCTGCACTTGGGCGCCCTGGGGACCACCACGCTCCTGCCTGACACCCGCTGCCTGGTGGACAACTCCAAGAGTCGGCTACCCCAGCTCCTCGACTGCGACAAGGTCAAAAGCAGCCTGTACAAGCGCTGGAACTTCATTCAGGTGGGTGAGCTGTGCATGGATCCTGGGGATCCCCAACAAAATACAGCCAGGATCCCAGGTCTTTCTCGGTCCTAGTCAAGCTTGAGTACCTAAAGCACAGGCAGGAGTATGAGGGATTTTTAGGAGGCAGCCTTCCTGATTTCTACACTAGGGCCAGGCCACTTGAGTTCTGATAAATCCAGAGAGCAGACAGCATCATGTTTTCCCTGAAATCTCTCAAGTACCCTCAGCGAGCTTGACTGAGAACTTCAAGTCACTAACATCACAGGAAATTCCCCATCCTGACTCCATCCCCAGCAATGCACCTGACCTGCTGCAGTCTCTCAAACCTGGTACAGCTTGTGTACCCAGAATCATTGGAAAATAAAGTAAATGTTTATGTTTTTAAAAAATATGCTCCAGTAAGAGACGCATCCCCATGAATCACCCTCGAAATGTTCTCCCTCACTTCGGACACACTCGCCTCTTTGTTCGTGCCACTTTCTGAAGCGGTTCTGCAAGTCCTCATCTGTGAGGGTCTTAAATTGTACTGTCCTGGCTCCTTCCATGTCCTGAATCCATTCATAATGTTTGCCTGTCCTGGTCATTTTGACTTTGTGGAAGAGTTAGTTAGAAGTTGCACAGTGGCAGATCTGGCAAATAAGGTAGATGTGGTGGATGAGGACACACGTCTTGTTTTTACAAGCCTGCTTCTTCCTTGGACGGCACTCGGCAGCAGCACTCACTGATTGTTGATCACACTGAGTAGAGACACTCAGGAAAGAGGGCTTCCAGAACTGCTTCAGAAAGTGGGAAGAGCAACGGGATCAGTGTGTCTAAAGCAAAGGGGAACATTTTGAGGGGGATTAGTGAACATGTGTCTCTTGCTGTAACCATTTTTTAAAATTTAAACATCCAGTATATTTTAATCACCCCTTGTATGTTCTGACTTTGGGGTCTCCGGAGGAGGCCCTTGTGATCCGTTGCACCGTGAGGGAAATGCTGATGGGATTTGTTCCCTGTGAGAAGCCACATGCCAGGAACTGTGGTGGCTGAATCTCTGTCTCTGTCTCCTCACTCCTCCCAGAATGGAGCCATCATGAACAAGGGCACAGGGCGCTGCCTGGAGGTGGAGAACCGGGGCCTGGCTGGCCTTGACCTCATCCTACGTGGCTGCACAGGACAGAGGTGGACAATTAAGAACTCCATCAAGTAGCTGGCAGAAGCTGGGGCTCCCGGAGCCCAACCCAGGACCTGGCCCAACCGTCCTCAAGAGCATCCACACCGTGGAGAGATCGCAGAGGCCCAACAGGTGCTCGTGGGCCTTCAGGGCCCCTTCAAGGCAGCGGGGGGCCCCCGGATGAAGACTTTCAGTCCTTCTCAGGCATTCAGCTGCCCGAGGCTCCTGCACCCTGGGAAAGTCCCCAGTCCTTCTCTGGGAAGCCAGGAGCTGTATCTTCTGTACCCCAGATGTGGGCAGGGACAGGATAAGACTCCTCTGCTTTTCCTCTGTGTCATCTTTTGCCCCAGTATCAGGACCTGGGCCTGGCAGGGTCCCCTCCTCTCTTTCATCCTTTGCAGCCACAGCAGCTTCTGGGTTCCACCATGGCCCCTCTGCAGATGGGGTCTTCGGCTACATCAGAGCCCCCCTTTACCCAGAGGAGACAGTGAGGCCCTAAGACTGTTTCCTCTGAGCTGCTTCTGTTCAGATGCCCATTTACAACCCAAGGCAGCTGCAACCCCTTAGGGATGGCCTTGGGGGCTGCAGCTCTGGAAGTTTCTGAGGTGGCCAGGGAGGAGCTGATGCTACCACCCTGATCGTCTGGGCACTTGGCTCCTATAAATGTGCATGGGCTGCCCTCCTGCCTGCATCCATGGGGAGCCAGAAATGGGCAGGGCACACGTGTATGGAGGCCTCTGCTTCAGGGGTCAGGAGGCCAGAAGCAGTTCGGGGCAGCTCTGCCACTGGGGGGCCCCGGAGTCCTGGCTGGTGGAGCTGCAGGGCCCTCTGTGGGGAAGGGCTGCAGAAGCAGCCCAGCCACGGGCCCCAGGAAGCTCAGAGATGCTTTGTGCTCACCACATTTCACCCTAAGCTCTGCAGGTGACAGGGAAGAAGGCAGTTGTCTCCTCTCTTAACAGTAACCCTTGCTTTCTGATCGCCCTCTGGTTAGGGTGCACTTATAAATCAGAGTTAATATATGGACGTGTGTGCATGCATCCGAGTGTGTGTGCCTGTGCGCTGTGTGTGGCAGGGTGTGAGTGTGTGTCTGAGTGTGTGCTGTGAGCAGAGCCGATGTCGCTGTGTGGCCTTGAGCTTGCCACTTCATTGCCCACGTGATGGGGGCGCCTGGAAGCAGGCGGGGTTGGCCCCAGGTCGGCGGCTCTGGCCAAGGGACCTTGCTCAGCCTTGCCTATGCGGTACCCTTTTGCCACCTCCCACCTCTCTCCCCACTGCTGTCTCTGGCTAACCCTGCCCAGAACCAAACCCTGTAGTTGCCCCATTGCCCAGTGTGGGGTACAGTGTCTCACTGGTGGCATCTTCTCAGTGACCACACTTCTCCCCATCTCCCACCCTATGAAATAAAGACCTCAGCACTTCCCAATGCCGCCTCCTTTGCATTTATTTTTCAAGTACTGAGGATCAAGCCCAGGGCCTTTGTACTGAGCTTCAAAAAAATTTTTTTTAATTTGGTGAGACAGGGTCACCTAAGTCACCTTGCACGGGCTGAGCTGGAACTTGCAATCTTCCTGCCTCGGCCTCCCAGAGTTCTGGAATTATACATGTACACCAACATGCTGGATGTTCATTTGCATCTCAATCCCTCTAGATCAGATCCCCAAGGTCAGGAGGAGGAGAGTCCCTGAGATGTGACAGAGGGCTTCGTTAGTTAGGGTGGGGGGTGTCTTTTTAAAGGCAAAAATCTCTTGCAAGACAGGCTAAGAGAAAGCCAGCCTGCCCTTGCCCATAGCTCCCCCAAAGGTGGATAGAATGTGACACCTGTCGTCTCCTTGTTGACCTTGGTTCAGAGGCTGAAGTCCGTGCAGGAAGCTGTAAAACTAAAGAGCAGAGTTACGGTGACCTTGGCCTGGCCAGCGTGAACCATGCCTCCTGCTGCGTCCGGTGAATTCTTGCAGTAGAGACCACAGAGCCCAGGGGTTCTTGGAACAGCAAACCCTGCAGGGCACCTTCAGTCCTGGATGTGGGCCTGGAGGGAAGAGCAAGGCGTCTGCTGCCCTGTAGCAGTCCTGAAGCAGCCCACAAGTCCTCTCTGTTTGTTGTCAGATCACACAGCTATGCACACATCAATTGCCATTTTCTGTGGGGATTTTCTGAGAATTCGGGTTTATAAACATGTGGGTGGGAAAAGTTCAGTAACAGAGTTTGTCACCTTACACGATAGCATTTTGAGGTCACTGTGCCATGGCAAGAGCCAGAGACCCTCAGGTTAAAGGAGAGCGGGAGGGGTGCAGCCCATGTCCTCCAGTGCTGCAGGGCAGCACCTTGGCCTCACCTGAGCTGCACCCCCAAGGCATGGACGTGGGCCTGTGTCAGGGAACACAGAGGTGAAGAGTGTCCCTCTGGTTTAGGTTCCACAGGAGGCTCCCACATGTGCGACGTCTCAGTGCAAGGCCGGACTGTCCACGCCTAGCTGTCCCCGCAATGGGATGTGTGTGGTCAGCACCCTCTTTTCCCTCTGGGTCTCTCTGGGCTGATGGAGCTGGGCGTGGCTGGGCCAAGGCAAAGAGGAGAAGCTGTTAATGCCAGAAAGGTGGGGACAGAAGAGAAAAGTAAGGCCGCTAAGGAGCCTCTGGCCCCCAGTCCTTTGGGAGAACCAGAAGGTTCCAGAAACACCTGTGTCTCTTGCGATCACTACAGGGCATGGAGCTTGAATGAAAGTTCCTGCTTTTTCATCAAATGTGGACAGTTGGCACCATCCAGGGTTTGAGTAGTGACATATCCACCCCCCAAACACTGTCACCCTCACCTTGGGGCTGGGCTCTGACAGTCTTTGCTGTCCTTCCTGTCACACAAGCCCTCATGCCCATGCCTGTCTCTGGCCATTTCTGCTATCTTCTCAATTTTCCCCTTAATTCATATGGCAGGAAATATCACAGATGGCACTCCTGACAAATTTCCAAGCCATCAAGGCCCATGGCTTTGGATCTGTGTGTTATTTCTCAAAGTGTTCTCTTCATGGCTTGACTTGTCCCAGTGACTAGAAGAGAAGAAATCAAAAAGACTGAGACAAGAGAACAGGGGCCTGAGAGCCACCCTGTGAAGCTACTAAAGCCATTCTACATGGGATACTGAAGCCATTTTTTTTCATTTGATCCGAATTTTTGTGTTTTGTTTTTCCTATCATTCTTGAAAAATACCCCAGTTTTACAAAGCGAGGTCCAGGCAGAGCAGGCTGTTGAGTGCTCTGTCCCTGATTTATGTGCCATTTGTCTTGCTTCCACTTTGCTCCCAATGATGCTCTGAATGACAGCTGGCTGGGGAGGAGCTTGGAGCCTGGGGAGGAGCTTGGAGCCTGCAGAGGAAACCAGGTGGCTGGACCGAGGTGCCCCATCCCTGCACTCTGCCAATGTATCGGCCTCCTCTTTAATCTCCAGATCGGCAGTTGAGCTGGCAGACTGTCGGCTCCTGTTATGGTTTAGATGTCCCCCAAAGCTTCATGTGCTCAGAGGCAGGGCTTCTGGAAGGAGGTTGCATCATGAGGTCGGGCTGTAGAGCTGACTTGCTTTTAGGAGGTTGGTCTGGCTGGAGGAGATGGGTCACTGGGGATATGACCTGGAAGGGGGCTCCTCCCTTCTCTCTGCTTCCCGGCTGCCATGATGTGAGCAGCTCTCATCCACAAGGCCCCTCTACCATGCCCTTTTTGCCTTGGAACTGGCCAACCATGGACTGAGACCTCTGAAACTGTAAACCAGGATAAACCTCTCCTCCCTCAAATGGGGGGTGTCAGGTATTGAATCTCAGCAATGATGAAGTGACCAAGAGCCTCCTAATCAGCTACTCCTCCTCTCCCCCGAATTCCTGACTCTCTCTGCTCTCTTGCTCATCGGGTGTTTTCTAGACCTGAATTTGGAGATCGGTGGTGGACACCCAAACCCCAGAGGTGCATTTCAGTTCAGTTTGACCTATGTATTTTTTATATCTCTCCTGTGGTTTGCTCTTTATGTCCTCTTGGAAAAGGGCAGAAGGAAGGGAGAGAGGAAAAGAGGATGGAGACAACACTAAAACACGCTGAGCAAGTACACACTGCCATTGTCAACAGATCAATACCATGGTCTTTGCCCTTTAAACTCATCTGAGAGGTGAAAACAGATGCATTGTCTTAGAGTTCCCCACCCGTGAGGCCTGGGCAGCCACAAAATGGGTTGCATGAGTGGGAGTCTCAGCAAGGTGTAAGATTAGCAGGTTCCAGGGTTCTTTCCCGAAAGAGGCTCCAGCTAATTATAGATTTTGCACGCGTGGCTCCTGGCTTGATTTCATCACCTGCCTGTGGACTGGAGCTCCCAGCACTAATCCTCAAGTATAAAGAGCTGAGGTGAAGACAAAGGAAACTGTAGAGGCTGCCAGGAGGGCAGCATGCATTATGCCAGCTTAACAAGGGTCAGAGGACTCACCTTGCTCTGGGATCACAGCTCCCTCCCACCTACTTGTAGAGGCCACTACTGCTCATCCTGCATCAGCCTGATCGATTCCAGACACAAGCGGTACTGGGGCAGGAAATCGCTTTCTGACAGTGACCCAAGCCAAGCATGAGTCTCAGTGACCTCTTAGCACTGCTCAGCCCTCTGCGCCCTGAACATAAAAACTAACCCACCTGCTACTGTTTGGGATTAACTGTTCATTAAAACCTGCAGTGCATCTCAAAGATGGTGGGTACCCTTTAAACTGTAATGTGGCCACCTGTCACCGAGGGACAGGCAGCTTCTATTCCACTGACAGTAACATGATCAGTGGACAGAGTTCACCCTGCCTTCTACAAGCTGGAGAAATGGTTAGAAGGGTCTCGCTAGGCCATTAAGTTGCCCAGGCTAAGCTCAAAGTTGAGATTCTCTTGCCTCAGCCTCCCAGCGAGCTGGGATTACAGGTGTGCACCCCCACACACACCTGACTTCTAGTGTTTCTTAAGTAAAGTCATAGATGGGAGCCTTCCAAATAAAAACTTCTTTCAGACCCTCAGGATTGTAGAATATTTTTATTCTAATGTTTTCCTGGCATGTGTAAACATAAAGCCGCTTTTGCTCATAGGTCTATTACAACTAAAAAATAAACATAATTTTACAAGTAAATATAAACAGATCTAGGAGATCAATTAGATATAAATGAACAGCATTCATTCCGCTAGTGGGCATCACAGCTTGCCAAAAGGAAATTGGTCCTTCTGCACTCTGTGATGACTCAATCCTCCCCTCGATTTCCCTGAAATGCAAGTATATTGAAATGTTCACACGCCATGCCTTCACTCAGCACAAATTTGAGCGCCTCCTGTTGGCCCGAGGTGTGACTAAGAATAAAACCCAGTCCCGTGGTGCCTAGAGGCCAGGACGTACTCTGACAGGTATGTTGTCCTTCTGAAAAGGTGACAGAGCACATACACAAACGAAGACGGCCCCGGCGTCTTCAGGAGTAATCATCTTACCGTACCTCGCTGAGAGGATGCGGTTTCAAGGCTCAGCCTCAGCGAGGGACGCAGGTAGACGCACTGCTCTCTGTGCCCTGGGGATGGGGAGCTCCTTTGCGGGGAGCATGTCTGTCTTCAATCCGCACGCCCTCCGTCCTGTGAAGATCGCTGCAGAACCATTTCGAGCCTCCGCGGGTGGCACACAGGGTTCGATACTCACCTGGCTATGCAGAGCCCTTGGATGGCGATGCTCACGTGCACTATATGAAAATTAGCGGAATAAAGACGCATAAATCCCGTAGGCTTCTCACACACGCAGCGGCCAGAGGACCCGCAGATGCCAGCAGAGCCCCAGGTGAAGGAGCACAGTTTGAATCGCTTTCCACGCAAGTCTTTCTTTTTATGTTGTTTTGAAGTTTGACAAGGAAACGGGTACTGAATCACGGCAACAGCTCTTACAGGCCGGCACAAAAGTAGGACTCCCAGCGGGTGGGTGTTTTCAGCCTTTGCTTCTCCCTGTTTGCTCGCCCTTGCATCTTTCCCAACTCGTTGCCTTTTGAGGAAAAGGACAAAAACGTCATGACTGAGAATCACAGGATTTTTTTTTCCTTTTCGTTTTCCACTCAGAGTAGAGCTTGTAGGAAGGACGTTGGCACGGGGAGGGATTCCTGTCAAACTTTACCAGCATCAGCTGTGCTAATCTGGTCCTCAGGTCCTAACACCTGTCTCTTTCTGCATCGGCCCGGGAGTCTGGCTTCTCATCCCCTGTGCGTCTTGGAAAAGCAGAAAAATCCAAGCTCCTGGTGGGAATGCTGCTGTAAGCAAAGGACATCCGTGTCCACCTGTGATACTGGGGTTTCTACAGAAGCTTTCCACACAGCTGCTGGTTAGTTTTATTGTTTTGTTTGTGGCACCAGGGATCGAACTCAGGACCTTGGGCTTACCAGGCGGGTGACAACACCACTGAGCTAAATCCTTGGCTCGCT